GAGGAATTCGCCGTCGTCTTTTGGTGGAACCGACCTTCGAATCTCTTCACCAAACACTTCTACTCGAAATTGATGCATTTAGGCATACCGCGACTGGGCCATTCTGATCTGAGATTCGTTCAATTTAAGCCAAACAATTATTGGCCTCATTTAAAGCGGGAAATTGACTTGCTCTTTTCCTTCCTCTTCCTCTTCCTCTTGTCTAGTTCAACTTCTGATGATGCTGAAGGGCCTGACTCTTCCCGCGAAGTGGTGAGCGCCTCGATGCCTTTGCGGAATTCGTCTCTCCCCGCATCACTTCAATCTGGTCGAAATCTCTAGTGTCAATACAGAACTGAGAAACTTCCGCACACATTCCACATTCCCGCCAGCTTTCTGGACAGTCATCATCTCCTCATCTGACTTGTGTCGTCGCACTTTTCTCGTCTTCACCTCTTCCCCGAGGACCCCCAGAGGCTCTCACGAGCTGACGTCGCCATCGACTACTTTGCCCACACCTTCACAGACTTTCGTAACAGCTCCACCCTGTGCCCCTTCTTTCCACAATATAAGCCGGTTTCACTGCAAGTTTCCTCGGTACCTTCTCTTGCTGGGCGCCTCTCTGGTTACCATTGTTTGGTAAGAACTGGCGCTTCGTTACACAACTCTCTTACACACTCCAACAGGGTATCCAAGTGTCAGATTTAACTTGCGTGTACACCCCAGTCGACTTCACTCACCCTATCATTCGCATACACACAAACACACGCACACATCTTCACACATGGACAAGCATAAAAACCAGGGACTATGACAATCTTGTGTGTGGTACAGGCCTCTAGTCGTCTGGCCGACTCTGTGTCTGCGGCGAGGGTAGCTGTGAGTGTGTCTGGCCGCTTGTTGCCGTTTTCGTCAGGCGTGCAAAATGGTCATTTTTAGGCTATGCCAGCAGGAGATTGAAAAAAAGGCAAAGGACCTTCTGCAAATTGTCATTTCTTTATTTGTTATTATTATTATTATTATTATTCTTATTATTATTATTATTATTATTATGCATACATATGCGATCGTCTGTCTGTCGGAGTGAGTGTATGTGTGTGTGTTTCTTTAAATAATATCTATGGCTGTGCAAACGAACCAATCCGTCCCATTTCCTCCTCAAGGATACTGTGCACCGACGTCACAGGCAGACGAACAAGGCCCAAACAACTCGAGTCAAGGGGTTTTTCTTCGCTTTTTTATTCTATTCAATCGCGATTTGGCGACACACCGACAATACACATATGCATTCTGCCTGAAGCCTTAGTTGTGAAGATTAAAAGATGTCTATTTTATGCCGTAATCCCATCTTCTTGCATACACTCAATGGTGTAGACTGAGAGGCTTGACAGTGAGCATTTTGATTCATTTTTTTCCGTCTTTATGGCTGTTACTTTGCAACAAGTTGCATTTTATCAAAATAACTTTCATTTCACTATTATCAATTCATAATCAGTAGTGTCTCTGTTAGAAGTGTTGCAGTGCCTCTCCCGAACTTAGTCCCGTCTAGCCGAATCTATTTGGGGCTATTTTCTATGCTATTTTAAACATACGAGATCGCCGTTCATCAGTTGCCTTTTTTGCATCCAAGTGATCTTCCGTCCCAACCATATCACCGAGTAGTGGAAGACGAAGCTGATGCAGTCAATCTGAACATATCATTGAGTTGGACAATCAGCCCCTGATGTGGGCTTTCAAGGTTCTTTTTGCATTGCCTTCATGTTTTCTGATGAAGTCTCAGATACACTTAACACTGACCTGTACCAAGGCATAGATAATTATCCGCCTGTAGAACTTGGATGCACCATAGTTGGGGCTCCCGGCAATAATGTTGACATCTGCACAATGTCACTGCATACGACGAGGTTAGCAACTGTGTCCGATGTTCATCATCATGTGAAACCTGTGTATCATGCATTAATTTTTTAAGAGAAAACGATGGAAAACACCCTCGTTCAGAGGCTGTGTCCTCTCTGATTATTCGATATTAAACCATTTTTGAAAAGATTCTTCTCTTCATTTGGCCGCTTCGAGACCGTCAGTCTGGCCAGGCTGGTCTTGTCACCTTCACTGCCCCCCCTCCATGAAGGGGTGAGCACGAAGGAAAAAAAGGTAGAGAACATTGCTTCCTCACAACGGGGGTGTGGGGCGAAAATGGGTCCTCTCTATCTCAGCACAGGCCATGTGTGGTATGACCTCGTTTTCGCAACTTTGTCTTGTTGTCACGGCGACATGGTTGGACACACTTTGTCCGAGGTCGTTTGCTACAGTAGTTATGATGATTGCAAAGGTTCAGACCTGGGACTTGGTACATTCCCCTGAAGTTTGGCCGGCAGCGTAAGTCCTGCCATTCTCAGCATCAAGCTGCAACTCGTCAAAAGAGACAAGTGAACTCAATACCTTGACCTACTTTCTGGCAAAGTTGCAAAATCGAGGTCAGCCCACTTTTATACATCGAATGGAGACTGCCACCAAAATAGAGGTAACAACATCTTGGTCTTCTTACATGCGATGAGAAAAGTTGGTCTTTCAGTCGGCTTGAGGATCTAGGCTTTGTGGGTATGTTCGATGAGGCCGGAGTGTACGTGTTATTATCACACACTTGCTCTTGACCATTCGAGGCGGAACATGCGAGATGACACCGCGACGGGGACGGATATGTTGAGAGTGACTAAGGGGCCAAGTTGGATCTAGATTTCCGGGCGGAAGTTGTGAAAGCGAAGCGGGCGATACGAGAATTTGGAAAGTGCAACTGGACCAGGACAGAAAGGAGGACATTCAAAAGTGTTCCGCGAAGAGTTGGTCAACAGATGGATCTCATGCGTCGCCTTGATGACTAATGGGAGGCTGATGAAAGGTCGAGAAATGTACCAAGTGCTAGAAATTGCTGTAACCACTCGGGCAGATGAGCGAGGACAAGGTGCGTTCGGCCTCGGCCAGTCCTGGCAACACGAAAGGGTTGCAAATTGGGACTGTTTGGCCCACTTGCGGGGATTCTCCCATCGACTGGCCAATCCCGACATCGGATACGGGCTGGTCATCTCGGTCGTCGGGAGCAACTGGTAGGGGCGACGACACCCGGTCAGGGGGTGAGCAGTTCAATGCTGATCTGTCCTTCCTTTTTTGCGTGGACAAAGTGGCAAACTGAACCTCGATGCGTAGACAACAAGCACAACAACAACAGCACCGTTACACATCCGTGACGAGCTGTCATCTCTTGCCGTCGTCACAGACTTCACCGGACGAGCACGCCACACCTTAGCAACATTGCCCAGGCAAGCTTACGTGTTTGATGAAGAGCATTGAAGGCCGACCGCAGCGCAACACGATGGTCCTGGCCAATTGTTGGTCGGCTGTACTGGAGCATGTGATCGCGTGGACCAGGATCTTGAGGCCATCATCAGATCTGGAGTAGGAGGTCTGGTCAGCCTGGCTCGGCCGAGCTGCTGAAATCATACATTGAAGTGTGCGGGCTCGATTTCCGCCGAAGGGGGGCTGATGAGACCGGCTCAAGCTAGAGACCGGACCCACACTCCAAGCCGGTCGGGATGGGCTAATCCCATCGTGGCAACGTTCACTGCCAGTCCTTCATCACATCAAGCCATCCCATCATTTCGGTCGGGGTTGTCCTCAATGCAGCCTCCTTCGATCCCGAGCAAAATGTACCAAGCCCTTGTCCGCTGTACCAGGAACCTCATCATCATTCCTAAAACCCTCTTCAAGTTAACTAGTCAAGAAAATTCATATTCTGATTGATTAGATCTCGAAACATCCGAAGAGAAGTGGGTAGGCTCGAGACTACCAGTAAATCAGTGTAATGAGATGTATTCACCCTATTTCGTGTAAGGTGATGAAGGACTGGAAGTGACTACCAGTAAATCAGTGTAATGAGATGTATTCACCCTATTTCGTGTAAGGTGATGAAGGACTGGTAGTCGGTGTAATGAGATGTATTCACCCTATTTCGTGTAAGGTGATGAAGGACTGGTAGTACTACCAGTAAATCAGTGTAATGAGATGTATTCACCCTATTTCGTGTAAGGTGATGAAGGACTGGTAGTAGGTAAATCAGTGTAATGAGATGTATTCACCCTATTTCGTGTAAGGTGATGAAGGACTGGTAGTAGAATTTTAAAATCAGTGTAATGAGATGTATTCACCCTATTTCGTGTAAGGTGATGAAGGACTGGTAGTAGAATTTCCCCACAATGACATGAGTTGAGCTGACGTTTCCATTCAATTTGACATATTTTTCGAATTAGGTATTGTTTTCGTGACTACTAGTAAATCAGTAGTATGA